GAGGCCCAGTCAGAGGAAACTGGAAATGTGGTGTGAGGATGGAGTTCAGCTGCAGAAACCTTGGGAGACTGGAGGTGGACTAGAGCAGTTCGGACTTTGCCTAAAGAAGAAGCAGCAGGCTTCATGGACGACAGCAGGTACTAACAGGTGCAAAACTTCAATGAGCGTTTACTACCTGCCAATTACTACTCTAGGTACTTTACGTGGGTGGGTTTATTTAAGGCTCATAGAACCTTATGGAGTAAATACTATAATCAGCCCCCATTTTACAGATGAAGAAATTGAGGCACAAAGAGGTTTGAAAAATTGTCCAGGGTCACACAGCCAATAAGTGGCAAAGCCAGGATTTCAACCCAGGTGTTCCGGCTCCAGAGTCTATGTTCTATAATAGCTGCAAAATCCCAGTCGATTCTGCACACTTTAAAGAATATTTTGTGACCCCTAAGAGAAGGAAGTGTCATTATCAGGAGCTGAGGTTGAGTCACTAAGATGAAGTAGTATTGATGCACCAATTCCCTCTTCAGTGGCCTCACTAGATTCCCAGGCTGGGCGAGACCTAGGCCCTGAGTGAGCGTGCCTCCAACCAGCAGGCCAGTGTGGGTCCTGCCAGGGAAAAATAGCTGTCCCAAATAGGAGCTAATCCCACTATAAGATTTCCTAGTGAGTCCAGGCTCCACCCTCAGCTTGACCTTGTAGGTTTTTTGTTTTGTTTTGTTTTGTTTTAAATCAGCAACTTGCACAAGGATTTTGAAACAGCATGCAGGAGACCCAAAGAAGGGCAGGAAAGCAAATATTTTCGATGAGCTAACAAAGATTAGAAGACTCTGAAAGCTTGTAGGAGAGCATTGAATCTGACAGGATGAAGTTGAAGAGGAAGAAAGAGAAAATCAGGCACTGGCTAAATGTGTCTCAGCCTCTTTCTTTGGTATCTTTGGCCTCCCCCAGGCTTTGGGGTATGGTGGGTTCTGAAACTGAGTAGGGTTGAGATTTCTGATTAGGCTGACCCTCTGTGGAAGGACACACACAGTCAAGGGCACATCTAGAAACATATACTCGGACACTTCCACCTTCCACAAGCTGGACACAGTTCACTCCATCCCTGCTGCTCTGGCCATTCCGTCTTCCCTTGCAGAGACAGCTATACTAGCCTCTCCACAGGTCCCCTGTCTCCAGCCTTGAGCTCCACAATGACCCCTGGAACACACAATCCAACCATTTTCTCCCTTGGCTCCCATAGCTCTAAGATAAAGCCCAAGCTCCTTAAGCTGGTGTTCAAGGCCTCACGTGGCCCTACCCCAGCCCCTCTCCAGCTTCCCTCCACTCTTCTCCCTGCTGGCTCTCTCTCATATGGATCCAACTCTCTGGTCTCTCTGGTCACACCAGGTCACTTGTTGTGTCCTTGCAGGTGCTTTTCTACTTCTGGGTCTGTGCTCATACTATGCTCTTAGACTGAAGTGCCCTTCCCCCAGTCTCCCCGTTTCCATACCCCGCCCATCCTTCGTTGCTCTATGCATCTTCCTCCAAGAAGGCTTCCTTACAACTAAACCCACTTAAAAAATAAAATTCACTGAAGCTTTAACACTAGGACCTGGGCTGTGAATTCGGAGGTATACAGGGCAGGGTCCTTGCCTTCTAGAAGTTCACAGCTTGGAGAAGCACATTATTTGGAGAAACACGCATTTTGGAGACACAGTTTATCTAACAATTTGTCTAGACGCCTCCCTCTCCCACCTGCCTGTAAGCAGAGACAAGGCTGATTCCCAGCACCTAGCACGACACCTGGAACAGGGAAGACATCAGAAAAGAAATGCATTGACTTCCTCAAGGGTAAACACTGGATCTTATTAATTTCATTGCCCATTCCCTGTCTCAGCAATCATGTGTAGTCTAAGGACTTGGAAAATATATTGTGGGATCCAGTATCCCGTCTCATTTACCCAGAATAATGGTTCATCCATTTATTCATTTATTCACTCACTCAATACATGTATCACTCTGAAAGCTTGCAGAAGAGCATTGAATATGACAGGATGAAGTTGAAGAGGAAGACACAGAAAATCAGGCCTTTGCTACGACCTACATAGGCACTGCGGATACAATGGTGAGGAGAAAACAGACTGAGTCCTTGCCCTCCTAGAGCTTTTGAAGTTCAAGGTCAAATTGAGAAGTGAGTACAGTCCTCACTGGAGTTTTCAGGGAAGGAGTCCTTTAGGGAAGAGACCAGAGACTGATAGGAATTTAGCCCTGACCTTGTCCACAACATTGTACATACATCCTGTTATTTAACCTTCACAACCCTGGAGGTATGAGTTCACAACCGCCTTAAAATAGAAATGAAGAAATTGGGGCTTAGAGGGGTAATAGCTAGCTAGAGGAAGAGTTGGGACTATTATAGAATCTTGGTTAGTCTGATGTCAAAGCCTTTGCTTGCTCTAATTCACCTCGGCACCAGGGTGGAAGGGAGGGATGGAGGAGTGAGGAAAAGGAGAGAGAGAGAACCTAAATCCAGGTGTTTCACCACCTCCTCAGTCCTGTCTTGTGATGGTGCTGTGGAGGTGGCTTGGACAGGGAGGATAGCCTAAATCTGGAAAACCTGGAATGTTTCCAACACTGCCATTGTGGAATCCCCAGAATTAAGTCATGGTTGTCACTTTCTATATACCTGATGTTAAGAAAGGCTCAGATCTGAGATAAACTCTGGGGAATTTGAAACTGGCAGATAGCCCAGCATGGTCTCTGTCAGGCCAACCCCCTTGGGTGTAGAGTTTGGACACTCTGTGGCCCATACTTCCCCTCTTGTTTGCTGAATACCTCAGTATTATACCAGGCACAGATGGAGAAGAAAGGGCTTGGCCACTCTGAGAGCCTTCCATTAGTACATTTAAACTAAGATATCAAATGTATTGACATAAAGTTGTTGATAATATTCACTCATTATCCTTTTAATATTTGTAGGAGCTGTAGTGATGTCTCTTTTTCATTCCTGATATTGGTAATTTGTGTCTTCATTCTTTTTCTCTTGACAAGTTTGACTAGAGGTTTATTCATTTATTTTTCCAACAAAAATCTTTGGTTTCAATGATTTTCTCTGTTTTCAATTTCATTTGGTTCTGCTCTTATCTTTATTATTTCCTTCCTTTGGCTTATTTCAAATATAATTTGCTCTTCTTTTCTTAAGTTTAGATTATTGGTTCTAAGCTTTTCTTATTTTCTAATATAAGTATTTGATGCTATAAATTTCCCTCTACACACTTCTCTAGCAGCAACCTATAAATTTTGATATGTTGTGTTTTCATTTTCATTCAGTTCAAACTATTTTAAAATTCCATTTGTAATTTCCCCTTTAACCCATTGTTTATTTAAAAGTGTGTTATTTCCAAATATTTAGGGATCTTTTTGTTATTATTTTCTAGTTTGATTCCATTTGGATTAGAAAACATATTTTATATAATTTTAATTCTTTTAAATTTGTTGAGGTTTGTTTCATGGGCAGAATATGATAATGTGGCCTGTCTTGGCAATTTGTTTCCCCAAATTTTTAATGTGCACTTGAAAAGAGTGTTTAATCTGTTGATATTGTATATAGTGTTTTATAAATGTCAGTTAGTTGTCAAGTTGTCTGATATTGTTATTTTGGTGCTCTGTAGCCTTGTGATTTTCTGTCTACTTGTTTTATCACTTACTGAATGGAGAGATGAAATTTGAAGTCTCAAGGAGGGGGGTGGTAGATGAGGGTAAAAGGGATCAAATATATGGTGATGGAAAGAGAACTAACTCTGGGTGGTGAACACACAATGTGATATATAGATGATGTATTACAGAACTGTATACCTGAAACCTATGTAACTTTACTAACAATTGTCACCCCANGGCTTCGTCATCCCTAGGCTTCTCCGTTGATAAATTCACAGCCCAGTCCTCTCAGCCTTCCATAGTCATGCACTCAGTTAACAGACACTCGTTGGCAACTGCAGACCTATTCCCTCAATTCTAAGATGCACCTATTTTTCACATTTACCATTTTGTTATCAAGATACATCTGACAATTCTCACTGGAAGAATTTTTTCTTAGTGGTGCCTAAAATACTGGTATGTTTTACCATGGAGGATATCTTAAAGTACAGTATGTACCAGGCACTGAGAGCTGGGAAGAGTGCCCGAGGTGAGGCATCCCGGCACCTACTGTGTGCCAGGCACCTGCTACACCAAAGAACTCCATCCTCTGTTAGCCCTGTGAGGAAAGTACTGGTGCCAATGCCCCCATTTTATAGATGAGAAAACTGAGGCACAAGGTTAATTAGCTTGCTCTAGGTCACATAGCTTGTAAAGAGGCAGAGACAGGATTACAACATGGGCAACTTGACTCCACATGTGTGACCAGCAGGCTCGGTTGCCCTGTAGGAATCCCCAGGTGAAAGATGGTGGGGTTAACAGGGTGAAGAGGTACACTTCAAGTAAGGGTACCAGCACAAGTAACACAGCTCATGCCTGGAGAACTGGGATGGCCACGGGGGAAGGAGAGGCAGGTGAGGCATGAACAGGGGCCCAGAGTGCAAGGGTCTACAGACTGCGGCAAAAATTAGATTTCATCCTAGGTGTGATGGGAGTCACTGCTATGTTTTAACATTTTATGAGGATTATTCTGGCTGCCGAGTGGAGGGTGGACTATGGGAGCGTTGGCAAAAGTGGAGCCCACATAAGGAGATGACTATGGTCAGGACTTAGGTCGTCGGGAAGAGAGAAGGACCAGGTCTGGAGGAGTCTGAGAGAGAGACTCCAGGCTCCAGACTCCAGAGCAGCCATTTTCAACCAGGGCTAGTTGCCCCCCGCTCCTACACAGGGTACATTTGGTAATGTTTGCAGACATTTTTGGTTGTTACAATTGGTAGAGGGGAGTGTTACTGGCATCTAGTGGGTAGAGGCCAGGGAAGAAGTCAGGTTCTCCCAACACACACACACACACACACACACACACACACACACACACACACACGGCTCATTCAGCCCAAAATGTCAATGATGTCCAGAAAGCCTCCTGGAGAGCTACCTGGCCAGAAGAGGAAGTGGCAGCAAGGGCAGTGGAAGTGACCGGAAATGGAGGCCCCCCAATCCCTGCAGGGCAGCCGTAGGGCTGAGGGGACAGCTGTGCTCTGTGCCAGGTCCCCATGCCTATGGCAGAGGTAAGGCTCCTGAGGGTCACAGGGGACAGGCCCAGCTCCTTGTGAAGGAAGACCTCACAGTCAGAGCCCTCCCACCAGGAAAGGAGCCATCACAAGGAAGTGGGCGCTCTGCCCAAGGGCTGTGGAAACTAGAGTTCTGTCATGGGTGGGCAGCCGGCCACCTGAGTCCCTCTGACTAAAGAGACCTCAGTGCTGGAAGGTGGCCGGGCTGGGAGGTGGGGCACAAAGTCCCTAGTGATGCCTGCACGGCTGTGGAGGAGCTAAGAGATAATCCTAGGTATGGGTGGGAGGGTCAGGGAGGTGTCCTGCACGGCAGCATTTTCTGACGCCAGGTCACAGCCCTGGCCGTAGCCCTCCGTCCTCCCTCAGGCCTTGGCCTGTGTAGACAGTGTTCGCTCAAATGATGATGAAATCTTCACAGCTCCCTGGCTGGTCTTCAGCATGAGGTGGACACAGATTCTCCTACGTGAAGCATTGCCTGGTTCTCCACCATTAGCTTTTTAGAAAGACTATAGGGTGATTTAGAAAACTCGAGGGCCCAGAAACAGTTTCCTAATTTTGCTTGAAATTCCACCACTAGATGCTAGTTCATAAAATAACAGTAAGAGTTGATAGGAGCTCAGAAATCCACACGCATTTGACAGGGGAGTGAAGAGGCATGTGAAGGCAGGGGAGCTCCAGCAGATCTGGGACTCCTCATCTGGACTCCCTACCTCCTGCCTACCCCAAGGTCCTTGCAGGACCTTTTGGAAGAGCTGGAGGGTCTCCTGGGAGCCTATGGGGAAAGGAATCTGCAGGCCACAGCCCCATCCCTGCTGGCACCCAGCCTAGGACAGTCAAAGTGTGTGTCATCTCGCCCTCTGCTGGCCACTTGGTGGTACTGCCTGCCCTCTGCAGATAGTGATGCAACAGGCCTGCAGGGGGCACCAGTTCTGAACTGTTGTGCAAGTAGAAATTTCTGCAAATCACCGTCGTGTCCCATTAGTGTGACTAGTGTGGAGACTGAGCTACTCAACTCGAGAGCTGTCTGGCTGGGGGAGGATCCGGAAGGGCAGGGGATGGGATAGGCACGAGCCACCTCAGTATCATTTTTTGGCCAGACCTGCAACTGGCAGCAGCTCTAGGTACAGAGCCAGATGCTATCGGTTGCCGTCTCTTGATTGACCGAAAGGCAGTCCCCTGGAGACCTTCAGTTGAAGAGTCCCAGCTCTGTGGAATGGCCTTCAGTGGCCTCCATCACCTTATCTCTGAANAGCCCAGGCCCCTTTCCCTGCAGTCTACCCACTCTCAGCCTGGGTCTTGGCTTACCCACAGAGGTGATGGGCCTGCGGTAGGGTAAAAGACCAAAGGTGTACTGGAAGACGCCACGGCCGTGGAAGAGCGGGAGGGAGATACCCATGATCTTCTGCAGCCGGTTCTGGATCCAACGCAACCAGGAGCCATCAGAGTTCTCAACTTGGTCATATAGATCATTCTCCCCGAAGGAGAAAATTGGTACCAGATCTGCCCTGGAGGGATACAGAGGAGAGAAGGCATGTGGGAGGCACCCAAAGAAGGCTCCCAGCTGCTCACCTCGCTTCCTGCAGCAGCCCAGTGACTAGGAATTAGAGCCGAAGACAGAGCCCTCAGCTGGAAGTAGAAAGCCTGGGTTGTCGCCCAGACCTGCCATACCCTTGCTTTCTGACCTTGGGCAGGTCCCAGCCCCGCTCGGGGCCACAACCTCCTAGTCGCACCGTGACAGGTAGACCAGAATGCTTCTGAGAGTCCTCCCAGATAGGAAACATCTGCCAACTCTGTAGAAAAACCTCTCCTGCCCCAGCGAATTCGTATTCTTCAAAGATGCTTCAATGTGTGAGAACAGCTCTGCAATATGCCCCAAACACCATTGTCCAAGATCCTGTAGGTCACAGATCTAGTGACAGCTTTGGGCAATATGTCCCTTCCCACCTAGTCTCTTTGATCATCAAGTCTCCCTTCCGGAATCTTTTCTGGGTGTGTGAGCATGAGACAGTACATTGCTCAACAAAATATCATCAGCATTATGAATAGGCTGAGAATCTCCCTGCCAAGATAGAATCTCCATTAGTCTCTGCTGTCTTCCCATCAAAATATAACCCTTGCCACCCTCCAATTGAACCCAGGGCCCTCTTCCCAGATACCCGTGCACCAGGGCAAGCCTGACGAAGCCCTTGCGGTTCCGTAGCAACAGTTTGTAGGCTCCGGGCCTGGCGTTCAGTGCCTCCTGGGCACCCCCCACAATGATGCCCAGCAGGTTGCCACCTTCCTTCCTGCTCAGAATGTGAGCGGCACTCTCTTTGTCTGATGTGACCAGCCCTGGGGAAAGAAGAAGGTGGTCAGAAATAGGGTGAGGGGGCAGGGACTGTGGGGTCCAAGAAAGAGATCACCGGAAGTGCCCACAGAGGCCTGGGTCCCCTAATCCACCCACTCCAGCTGGGATGTCTCTGAGGACTGGGACTGAGTCCTTTTCCTCTTGCTCACCCCCTCACCGAGATCGGTGCTGTGGGAAGTGCTTCCTTGGGTCTAACCTCCTTCTTCCACTTTACATGCTCTTAGAAGAACTGCCGGCAGCCCTCCTTAAGACGCCTTCTCCCATGCCTGGAGCCTTGTCTTCTTGGGCTACCCAAGTGGGGAAGACTCACCCCCTGACATGAGGTAATCCCTGAAGAAGGGGACCCGGAACCACACGGTCAGCATCATCAGGTGGGGACGGATGTCAGGGAAGATCTTAGGGAAGTTGGTGCTCTCCGTGCACAGGTTGAGAAAGGCTCCGGTGGCCAAAACCCCATGGGGGTGGAAGCCGGCAAGGTAGTTCCGGGAGGGGTCAAGCTCAGCTGTCTTGACCAGCTGCAGGGACAGCAACCTGATGAGTCAGAGCTGGGCCTGCATGCCTGCCCTGACTCTGCCACTCTCCAGTGTGATCTTGGGCAAGTCACTCCCCCTCTCTGAGCCTCAGGTTCTCATGAAGATTGAGGTATGGTGTGTGAATGCACTGGGTGATACCATGGTGCCACCTCTGTCTCAGACTCACCNATGTAGCATAACATTTACATCAGCCATGAAAACAGTATTAACTTATCTTACACACGTTCAGTAATCATAAACAGTTGGACTACGTAGAAAAACTCAAAGAACAAGTATAACTATTATTATGACTAATATCATTAGCAGACAGGTAAAGACAATCAAATAAAATGGATTCTGAATTTAATATCAATCCATAGGTATACAGGCCTTGTTGATGTCTTAAAATAGCTGTCTACCTCTGGTGTTGGCAGCTTCTCGTCCTTGAAGAGTCTTTGATGTCTATAGACAGGGGTAGATGTCTATTCACAGTCAGGCCCCTGATAAGGTCCCTTCTAATTGGCAAGTATATTTTCTTTGATGTCCTTTCCAAAAACCAATATCTAAAGTCTTTGTCTCTGGAGAGCATGCTGTGAAAGGAAAAGGCTACCAACTTGGCATTGTCTTCAAGTGACTCTGTCAAACCTTGGCAATAGTGTAAGATATCTCCTTTAAAAAATGTCAGCTCATAAGTTCCTTCCTCTAAGTTCAGCTTAAGTGTACTATGATACATGAAGGAATGCAAAAACCAAAAAATGCAGAGCCAAGGAACAGGAAGAACCAAGTGGCCATCTTGGGTTTCCCATAGCCTGACTGTTCATTTAATTTACAACAACTGTTTACCAAAACAATATACCCTACAAGTTTTCATCACTTATTTTTACAGTGCTTTCTGTGCAATTTCAAAGCTTGAGGCATTCCAGAGGGCCTTCTGAATCACTGCAAAATTATTCCTACACATATTAAAACTTAAAACTTCAATGTCTAATGAAAACTAAAAAGTAATCAATTAGCATTTTTTAGCTGGAACATTTTATCACCTCTAGAAACATTTTTAATAGATATAAAAGTCAAGTATTGAGAGTTCCAGTCAAGATGGCAGATGAGGTAAACACTGGGCTTGCCTCCTCTCAGGACCACATCAAAATTACAACTAAACTACAGAACAACCATCATTGAGCATCGCCTGAAGTCTAGCTGAACAGAAGCCCTATAACTAAGGATATAGAGAACTTTTAAAAACTATGTGACTTTGGACAAGTTAGTTAACCTCTCTGAGCCTCAAATTGGGATTTGACTCTGCATATATACATGATGTCACAGGTTGCGTTCTCCAGGAAGTGGATTGTGAGATGATGTTTAGCCTGAAGAATGTTTATTAGGGAAACTCCTTGGGATTAACATCTTTACAAGGAAGGGAAGGCAGCAGAACTGGGCACAGGGAGAAGTCAACTTTACCATTCAGAAGTCAACTGAATAGCCCATCAGAGTTTTCCTGATTTGGGCTGAAGTGGTCAAGCCTTTACATCCCATCTGAATCAGTCATCAGATCAGTTGCCCTCTGCAATTGGAGCACAGTGTCCTTCCTTGAAAGTGCATCTGGGTGGCACATCTCAGTATCCACCACACCAGACAGGGTGGAAAGAGAACTAGAGGAGAGCTGAAGACTAGTCCTGCCTCACACATTTTCCAGCTGTGCTGTTTCAGGAAAATCCTTCCCTTTTCAGAGCCCCTCAGCTTTCCCAGATGTAAGTGGCTGAGACAGCGGCCCCCGCCAATCAGTGTTCAGCACTTTGCAGGTCACCAAGTAATTTTGTGTACTTTCACTCACAACAACCTTACAATGCTAAGAGTTGGTCACCCCAGTGAGTTCTAGGGCAGTGCTACCCGAGTGTGTTCTGAGGACTGGCTTTCATCCACAAGCCGCTTGTTACTAATTCCTGACAAAGTAAGTAGAGAATTTGAGAGTGTCTGTTAAGAACCTTAGAGCAAGGTGGCAGGGTAAGTTCATGCCTGTTGAAAGCAATAATAAAAAATTGTGCCCGT